GGCACGCCGAGATCGAGGTGCTCGCGTCGCACTACGGCTACACATGTCCGTCGACGGCACGGTCTACGAGCCCCAGTTGGACCGCATGCAGCTCCGCGCCGAGTGGTCCGCGTTCAAGAACGTGCTCCAGGACATGAAGCTGTCGGGCGTCACGCTCGACGAGGGCTACGCGACGCTCCTGGCGAGCAACGGCATGCCGAACAGCAAGCTCCTCGCGGCCATCTCGCTCGCCATCGTGCTGTCGACGGTCTGCTGCGAGCGCGGCTTCTCGACGATGGCGTGGGTCAAGTCGAAGCTGCGGAACCGCATGAGCATCATCATGTTGGACGCGCTGATGATGATCATCCTCAACGGCCCCGACATGAGCGACGCCGCGGCGGTCGACGACCTCATCGAGAAGGCCTACGACTTCTGGGCGAAGCAGGCGAAGCGGACGCCGAGCCGGAGCCACCCCGGCGTCGCGCGGCCGCGGAAGAAGACGGCCGTCGCCCAGCCCGTGCACGACGTCCTCGCGGCCGTCGATCGCGAGGCCGCGCTCGAGGCCCGGCGGTCCGAGTTCGCGGACTGCGAGGAGTGCCACTTCGACCCCGACGACGGCGACACGGGCGACGAGGGCGCGCCGAGCGAGTCCACGGGCCCCACGATCACGGGCGACGACCTCGTGCAGGCCGTGGGCATCTTCCCCGGCCTCGAGGGCTACGAGGCCCTGCCGAAGCCGAGCGGCACGTCGGAGGACTGGAAGAAGGAGCTCAAGACGTTCAAGTGGCGCGGCCTCCTGCTCGCCCACGTCTTCGAGGGCGGCTGGGCGACGGGCAAGTACGTCAAGAAGGCGACGCGCCGCGAGTCGCCGAACAGCGAGGTCGGCTTCTACGTCTTCTACTACGCCGACGTCGGCCAGTACCTCGCCCACAACCTCGGCCTCGAGGAGCACGGCGACACGCGGAGCTGGCTCATCCTCAAGCAGGCCGAGCTCGCGCGCCTCGCGTAGCGGAGGTGTAAATTCATGGACTAGACGTGGTCCTCCTGGAGCCCGTGCCTAGTCCAAACGACCCTAGCTTCAAGATGCACTGGATACGGCATGGTGCACCCGAGAAAGTGGCTGCCCACCATGGCCGAAGCCTTGCCAGTGCCCGTGCCGGACTCTTGGCGGGCGCTCAATCGTTTCGTCCGTCGTCGCGTGGCAGCTGGCCGTCTTGATCGGCGACATGTCATGTCGGCGCTGCGTCTCTTGGCTGTGCGCTCGGGCTTGCCCGGCGCCTTGATCGCACCCATCAGCGCCCGGGGGCACCCAGGCCTTCTTCGACTTCAGCTGCGCGGAGGTCTTGGAGCCGTCGTTCGTGGAGCGCGGCGCGGTGTCGATCGAGAAGACCGTCGGCGTCGGCGACGCGGCGAGCGGCGTCGTGCATCGGCGAAGGGCACGCCCTCGTCGAGCGAGGCGCTCGTCTTCACGAACACCAAGGCCTCGAGGACGACGCCCGCGACGGCCACGGCCTTCCAGCCCGACGCCTTCCTCGCCCTCGACCAGTTCACGACGCCGGAGACGCCGCCCTCGAACACCGCGGTCTCCATGGCGGTGCTCTCCGCGGACGCTGTACGCACATCGTCATGGAGCAGTACCAGGGCGTCGCCTACGACGTCGACATGGGTCCCCTTGGTGTTGTTCGCATCCTTCCGGGGTGCGCTGGGGTCGCGGTCGTAGTTTGTACCACGCTCGGGCACCTTGGGCTCGCGCCCTGGCCGTAGGGACTGCGTTCCTGAGAGTGTAGGTTCCTCAGGCACGCGGACATCTCGGATCTACAGCGTACTCAGAGGGCCACAACTGGCCACTACGGCCGAGTTTCGCCGTCGCCCGCATACCGCTGGACACGGTAGATCACAACCAACCCCAGGGACATCTCAAACACGGCGTGGGACCGAAATTACTGCGTATTTTGGTTTTTTTTTGCCCTCGGGGCCAAAAATAGGGCTCCCAGCACGGCAACGCGTATACCCGCCAGATGCACGACCCAGAGGTCGGTCAGCTCGATCGAGGGCCGATCTCAGTGCATTAGCTCGGGGTCCGACAGCCGGGGCCACGGGATGTGGCGCATCTCGTGCGTGAAAACGTCCACCGAACGTCGTTACGAACGCGTCGAATTTAAAAATACTTCTGGTGCCAAAAACCTATAGCTAGATAGCAGGAGCGACATGGTAGTTGACGGATCCGTCCTGCCAGAGCCGACAACAAAGGTTTTTCGGCACAATACAGCCGAGATAGGGCCTCGTCGTGACGTGCGGCGTTTCGATGACGTTCCGTCGGGTTTTTGGACGAGCTCTGGGTCCTCATCCGTGAACGAGTGCTTATCTAGCTAGAGCTTTTCGGTCGACTCGGACCTCGGAACCAGCTCTTCGGCGTCCCACGCGTTTCTTGAGGCGATAAAATCGATCTCCGCAGCTCCGAAACGTGGCCGGAGACGGGAATTCGTTTTTTTGGGCCAGTTTTGGGCCCTCGTTCGTGAATGATTGGCTCTATATCTCGGGGAATCCGGTCGATTCCGACCTCGAGACCGACCCTTCGACGTCCCACGCGTTTCTTCAAGCGAAAAAATCGATTTCCGTAGCTCCGAAACGGGCTCCGAGCCGGGAACGTGTAATTCTAGACGAGCTCTCGGTGCTCATTCGCTAAAGAGTGATTCTGTAGCCCGAGGTTTTCGGTCGACTGGGGTCCAGGGGCCGCTTCCTCGACGTCGGTTGCGTTCCTTGGGTCGAAAAAATCGATCTCCGCAGCCCGAAAAGACGCTCGACGGCGGCTCGCGAACCGATACGAGCCCGTTAATGCGCAGCACCGTCGAGAAGACGTCGACCGCGCGAGCGAACTGTCGCCCGCGACGCCTGCGGACGTTGTGCCACCGAAACCTCATGGATTGGTAGCATTGCGACGATGTAGTGGCCGCACGAGGCCGCCACAACCTCATGGTGGGAGCGGAGTTCAAGAACAGAAAAGCGAACGGCAAATTTCTCGGTGCCGCGGTGCAGCGCGCCTTCCTGCGCGCGCACGAGCCGCACTGAGCAGGCCCGATTGCGCGCCGCTTCGCATTCGCGGGTGCAGTCTGTCGCATCCCATCGCACGGGCTGGTTCGAGACGGTTCAACGTTAAGGGTATCTGCCGATATCTTAAGATGTTGGGCAGATACGATGGCTGCGTGGATCCTCTGCCCGCGCAGACGCCACGGCGCGTAAACTCGCGTGATTTTTCTCTTCGGCGCTTCGCGCCGCGGAGCGCTCGCGGCCGCGCGCCGCCGCGACGTCGCGCCGCGCATGGGCACGAAGCAGCGAGCCCACGTCGCGGCCAAACTTCGAGGCGCTCGAGCGCGGGCCGGGCTGCCCTTGGCGGGCAGCGTCGACTGGATGTGGAAGACGCGCGCCAGCGACGTCGTCGATTGTCGGCGGGTGCCGCAGGGCTCGCCGGCGGCCACGGC